AGGATGGATGGGGCGCCTGTCTGGATCAGTTGGAAGAGCAAGCAGCTTGGGATCTTGGGGTCGTGAGTTTGAACCCCACAACGGGTGTAGAGATTACTTAAATAAATACAACTTAAAAAAAATAGGGCAGATAAATAGTACTAGCCACATAATGGAATTTTCAACAGCAGTGCAAAATAATGAACTACATATTCAGTGTGAATGAAATTTACAGACAAGATGTTGAGTTAAGGTAATCAGGCACAAAAGAGTACATACTGTATGATTTTATGTATGTGAATTTCAAAAAAAAAAAAAGAGAAAACTAATCTTTGAGGTCATAATACGGATGGCTTGTGGGAAAGGCAGGAAATTATTCAGTGAGAAAAGCCAGGCTTCTGGATGGTAGTCATGCAAGTATATTCATTATAAAAAATTTAATTGAGCTCCACACTTAAGATTTATAAACTTTATGCATACATGTTATTCTTTAACATGCAAAAACAAACAAACCCCACTGAGACACCAAAAGAACTTTTCACTAGCAGACCAACACTAAAGAAATACTAAAATATTTTTTAGGCAGAAGAGTTTAGATGCAGGAAGAAATGAAGAACACCTGAAAGTCAATAGTGTGTCTAATATTTATTAGATTTTTAGATAAGTAATGTAACTTCTAGGTCTTAATTTTCCTTGTATATAATGAGGGATTTGTACCAAATAATCTACTTGGCCCCTTCTCTTAAAACATACTTGGGGTAGGATATGGAAGAATTTGATTGAGAGGTTAAGTTTAACCTGTAGACACAAATACCAAAAATAAAATGAAATAAAATAAAAATTTGATGAAATAAGAAACTCTGAAATTTCCAGAAAACAAATAGTTGTGGTATTAACAAAGGAAGCATTTGCTTTATGCACCAAAGCTAAAGTGAAAAAGAAATTTCAGAATCTAATTATTGTCCTGAGCATACATTGATGTCTCACATTCCATAGTTGTATATAAATATGCTTCCCTTAAGTATGGATAACTCCCCAAAATTACAAAAACCAGTATTTTTTCTTTGGGGTTCTTATTTCTCCCATATTAATGGTAATAACAAATCTTGTAATGGTTCCTATCCTTTGTTTCTGTCATTTATTAAATCTAGTTTGGTATCTAGATGATACGCAGGGAACTTTGATCCCAGAAGAAGATGATACACAACCTATATTTGTTATATAGATGAATATGTAATTTTTGTTTTCTTTGGAATGGTTCAGAAGTAGGAAAATTGAGTAGTAATGAAACTTCTGAGTACTAGGTGATAAAAAAAAAAAGTTCATTGTACTATATTCTGTATTTGCCAGCATGTCATCCTATGGTCTGAGAGAGTTGCTTTTGTTACTTGTTCCATTCTATTTTTGCTTGTAAGATAAAGGTATCTTGAAATAGGACAAAGAAAATTAGATGCAGTAGGTGGGTAATTTAAAACTGAAAGTATAGTTGTTAATGTTAGTAGTACTTTGAAAGGCCTTTGAGGATGTGATAGGTGGAGGGGGGCCATAGACTTCTTGTTAATGACCAAAGCTATTTTTGAAGAGAGGTGACAGAATAGTTCAGTACTCTAGGGCCTCAAAGCTTCATCATCATGCAAGAGTTAGTTAGAAAGGCAGAACCCTGGGGCACCTGGGTGGCTCAGTTGGTTAGGCATCCGACTTCAACTCAGGTCATAATCTCACGGTTTGTGAGTTCAAGCCTTGCATCAGGCTCTCTGATGTCCGCACAGAGCCTACTTCAGATCTTCTGTCTCCCTCTCTCTGCTCCTCCCCTGAGCTTGCATGTGCGCATGCGCTCGCTCTCTCTCTCTCTCTCTCTCTCTCAAAAATAAACATTAAAAAAAAAGAAAGAAATGCAGAACCTCAGGCCCTTCCCTAAACCTGTTGATTTAGAATCTATGTGCATGTATGTATATATATATTTTTAAATATTTGACTTTTAAGTAATCTCTACACCTATTGTGGGGCCCAAACTCCCAGCCTCGAGGTCAAGAGTTGTATGCTCTACTGACTGAGCCAGCCAGGCACCCTTAGAGTCTCTGTTTAAACAAGATTCTTAGGTGATCTCGTGAATTTTAAAGTTTGAGAAACATTACTACCTGTACATAATATTGTACCATTTTGAAGCTAACAATAATATATGATGGAGGAGTCCGTGTGTGAAGTTAGGAAAACTGAGACTTTGCAGAATAATCCATCACCTATATTAATGATTATGAAATAATATTTAGAAGGCTGAGAAGAAACTGTAGAAAGAGTTGCTTTAAAAAGTATTTTGGAAGGGTGCCTGGCTGGTGCAGTTGGTAGAGCATGCAGCTGTTGATATTGAGATCATGAGTTCAAGCCCCACATTGGGTGTAGAGCTTACTTAAAATGAATAAATGAAATTTAAAATAAATAGTGGTGCCTGGGTGGCCCAGTCAGCTGAGCATCCGACTTAATTTTGGCTTATGTCAGTGGTCTCATGGTCGTGGAATCGAGCCCCACATTGGGCTCCGTGCTGAGCATGAAGCCTGCTTAAGATTCTGTCTCTCTCTCTCCCTGCTCCCCACCCTCTGTCCCTCTCTTCTGCTTTTGCTCTCGCTCTCTAAAATAAAATGAGTAAGAAGTATTTTAGAGGGGAGTATAATGATGTTCTGCATTTGCTTGAAATACACAAAACACATTGTTTAGAGGGATGAATAGATGTTGATAAAGCAAAAATAATAAAAGAGGAGAGAATAGACTTGGTGGGCATATGAGTGGTCACTGTAAAATTTTTTCTTTTCTATGCTTTATATTTTTCGTATTAGGAGGAAGTGGTTATGAAAATGGACATCACATACCAGATTCTGTACTTACCTTTTTTGCTTTATTTTGTAATATATTAATACTTTCTTCTTTGAGACAAAAAAGTGGCTAAATATTTTTTTTGCAAATGCCCTGTGTACCAAACATACTGCTTTACTATATGCATTATCTCATTTAGTCTTCATAACACTCTGATGAGTTAGATATCATTTCCAGTTTGTAGTTGAGAAAACCAAAACACAATTTAATGTACTTGCACCATCCAGTAAGTTAGGAAATGCATTTTGAACCTAGGGTCCTTAAGAATTGATAACTACCGCATTGCACGATTCAAGGGCCACCATTTACAGTTTGGGCACAATAGAGTATCGTTCAAATACAAAGTGGATAGGGGCATCTGGATGGCTCAGTTGGTTAAGCTTCTGACTTCGGCTCAGGTCATGATCTCACAGCTTGTGAGTTTGAGCCCTGCATCAGGCTCTGTGCTGATAGCTCGGAGCCTAGAGCCTGCTTTGGATTCTGTGTCCCCCTCTCTGGCCCTCCCCTGCTTACTCTCTCTCTAAAATAAACAAATGGCACAAAAACAGATACTCAGATCAATGAAACAGAATAGAGAACCCAGAAATGGATCCACAAACGTATGGGCAACTAATCTTTGACAAAGCAGGAAAGAATGTCCAATGGAATAAAGATAGTGTCTTCAGCCAGTGGTGCTGGGAAAACTGGACAGCGACATGAAGAAAAATGAGCCCAGACCACTTTCTTACACCATATACAAACATATTCAAAATGGATGAAAGACCTAAACGTAAGACAGGAAGCCATCAAAATCCTAGAGGAGAAAGCAGGCAAAAACCTCTTTGACCTTGGCTGCAGTAACTTCTTGCTCAACACGTCTCCGGAGGCAAGGGAAACAAAAGCAAACATGAACTATTGGGACCTAATCAAAATAAAAAGCTTCTGCACAGCGAATGAAACAATTAGCAAAACTAAAAGGCAGCCAACAGAATGGGAGAAGATATTTGCAAGTGACATATCAGATAAAGGGTTAGTATCCAAAATTTATAAAGAACTTACCAAACTCAACACCCAAAAAGCAAATAATCCAACGAAGAAATGGACAAAAACATGAATAGACACGTCTCCAAAGAAGACATTCAGATGGCTAACAGACACATGAAAAGATGCTGAACATGACTCATCATCAGGGAAATACAAATTAATACCACAATGAGATACCACCTCATACCTGTCAGAATGGCTAACAGTAACAACTCAGACAACAGCAGATGTTGGTGAGGATGCATAGAAAGAGGACCTCTTTTGCACTGCTGATGGGAATGCAAACTGGTGCAGCCTGTCTGGAAAACAGTATGGAGGTTCCTCAAAAAATTAAAAACAGAACTACCCTATGACCCAGCAATTATACTACTAGGTATTTATCCAAGGGATACAGGTGTGCTGTTTCAAAGGGGCACATGCACCCCAATGTTTATAGCAGCGCTATCGACAATAGCCACAGTATGGAAAGAGCCCAAATGTCCATCGATGGATGAATGGATAAAGAAGATGTGGTATATATACAATGGAGTATTACCCAGCAATCAAAAAGAATGAAATCTTGCCATTTGCAACTCTGTGGATGGAATAGAGGGTATTATCCTAAGTGAAATTAGGGAAAGACAAATCTCATATTACTTCACTCATATGAAGAATTTAAGATACAAAACAGCTTAACATAAGGTAAGGGAAGCAAAAATAATATAAAAACAAGGAAGGGAACAAAACATAACAGACTTTTAACTACAGAGAACAAACAGGGTTGCTGGAGGGGTTGCCTCCGGGAGGGGGGACAGGCTAAATGGGTAAGGGGCATTAAGGAAGGCACTTGTTGATATGAGCACTGGGTGTTATACATAGGTGATGAATCACTGGTATCTACTCCTGAAGTCATTATTGCACTATATGCTAACTAACTTGAATGTAAATTAAATAAATAAAATGAAATGAAAAAAGAATTCAAAGTGGATAGTTCCCCTGGGATTGTGCCACAGGGTTGCCTGGCTCTGACCATTTGCTTATAGGGCTGCCTCACTATTCTGTTAAACTTGCAAAATGAAAATTTTAAAATATTTTTCTGATGTGAATTTTGAATTGTTCCATGACTTTTTCTTGTATGTTTTATTTTTAAGATTCTTGGATCTCCCAGTCAGCATCATTTCCCCGTAATCAGAAACAGCCAGGGGTGGATTCTTTATCACCAGTGGCCTCCCTTCCTAAGCAGATTTTCCAGTCTTCAGTCCAACAGCAACTTACTAAACCAGCTAAAATCACTTGTGCACACTGCAAAAAACCTTTACAGAAGGGACAGACAGCTTATCAACGAAAAGGATCAGCTCACCTCTGTTGTTCTACCACCTGCCTTTCTTCCTTCTCTCATAAGCGCACTCCAAAGAAACGCAATGTAATATGTAAAAAGTAAGCTGTACTTTTCAACCTGGCTCCATATAATTGAATGCTGGCAGTATAGATGTGTGTTGAATGTAATTGAGAGCTGTATAGATTCATGGATACAGTTGTTGCAGAGATATCTTCAAGTTTATTGAGCTTGAGTTATCCTAGAGTGTGTCAGAGCTGTGAGTTCATTTGTGCTGTCCTTACTCTTGGCAGGAAAGGAAAATGTAAAAATTGACCCTCTCTCTGCCACTGACTTTGCCTTGCTCCTTCCCATCTTTTACCTTCGTTCTACCAAGTTGCTACCACCTTTTTTGAGTCCTTCAAAAATCATAATAACCTGTGAGAAGGTTCTTGTGCTACAAAATGTTTTTACCTCCAAATCATCTCTTGCTGTACTATTTAGGAACTCTTGACAGTGAAACCAAAGGTGGGTTTTGCTAGATCCAAAAATTACAGTTGATTCCTAGGATTAAATCCTGAGAAAATGAAAAATGTCATTTCTTGTTCATATATTTGACTTTTGTTAAAATGTAATATTCTTAAGTTTCATCTGTCCCTTGTGTTTCAGAGATGCACCTACAAAAAAAGCTACTACTGTTCAAGTTGAGTCAAACGAATCCTCCCAAGAATTTTGTCGTACATCTTTGCCTCCCTGTGAAGACAACCAGAATCTTAGAAAAAGAGTTAATAAATCAAGATGTATAATCTGTAGTAAGCTAACAGAGGTCTGGATTTTTATATCGTATTTAAGCTACTATGTAGGTTAACAAGGATAATTTTAAGTGTTATTATATGTTCTGCCATCTACATAATACGCACGTCCTGGATCTACACAATGAAGTTAAAGGAAAGGATGAGGATATGTTAGAACTGTTTTGTGAACAAATATCCCATTTGCATGCTATGGAAAGTACACAGCTATTTCCATGGAAGTGGATATACTCCTAAACAAAGTAATGGTGAATTTTGTTCTTACTAGCCACTCAAAATAATAAAGTGTAGTTTCAGGACATGAAGGAAGCAACCAATCCTGGTACAAGAATATGTAGAACGAGTGGAGTGTAAGTGTGTTGAAAACTTCATATTTCTTAAGTGGTATTGCCATCTTTCCAGTTGCCTAAAGAAGAAACATGCATACAGGCAGTCTTTACGTAACAAACGCCTTGGCAACTGAATTTGGTGTTCCTTGGAGCCATGCAAATTGAGGGCATGATTTTATCTCAGTTACCACAGAGCTGAGCAAAGCGAGAACCATCTTATTTATGCATATACAGACACCATCCTGAATATAGTAATACTGGTTCTTTTAGCACCTTCCATGAATTTTCTAGGGCAGTGAAGTTTATAATAACAAAAATTACCAATCCATTTCTTTTAATTAGGTCGTATCAAAATCTTCTAAACAGTTTGTTTCCTCTAGTTTTTAAGTGTCTCTGGGGAAGTTATTACTGACCTTATAGCTTTTTGTTCCATGAATCTTACTTTATTGTAAGATCAAAGATAAAAATGAAAGAATAACAAAATGTAATTTTTACTCTTTTCCCTGAATATTTCTTCCACTGAGAAATTATTAGAGATTGTTTCTTTTGAAGAAACTAGTTATCTCCTTGCTTACTGTGCTAATCTGGCTCATTTATTTAATAAATTCTGGCTTTTCTTTTAGATTCGTCATGAAGTCAGCGTTAATAATGTAGTACATAAACTGTGCAGTAACCAGTGCTTTAATAAGTACAGGTTAGCCAATGGTCTAATAATGAATTGCTGTGAACAGTGTGGAGAGTACTTGCCTAGTAAAAGTGCTGGAAACCATGTCCTGATGATTGAAGGTCAGCAGACAAGATTTTGCTGCCAAAGTTGTGTTAATGAATATAAACAGGTAATTATTTTCAATGCATTTAAAAAAAATTTTTTTTTTCAACGTTTATTTATTTTTGGGACAGAGAGAGACAGAGCATGAACAGGGGAGGGGCAGAGAGAGAGGGAGACACAGAATTGGAAACAGGCTCCAGGCTCTGAGCCATCAGCCCAGAGCCTGACGCAGGGCTCGAACTCCCGGACCGCGAGATCGTGACCTGGCTGAAGTCGTACGCTTAACCGACTGCGCCACCCAGGCGCCCCTCAATGCATTTTAAATGATTAAGTATACAGTAGCTTTTCCCTGTTAGCTTACATTAATCAGATTTATCTTAGAACCTCATTTAGTTCCATTTTTGTCAGTCACTGAGCTGTCGCATCTCAAATGAGTATTGAAATCAATTGATTGTTCCAAGCTAGTCTTCCTTCCTCTTCTGTGGTTTAGAATAGCTTGAAAAGAATAGGTATTAACATAAATGCTTGGTGGAATTCACCTGTGAAGTGAGTCCTAGACTTTTGTTGAGAGTTTTTTGTTGATTCAATTTCAGTACTAGTTGTTATCAGTCTGTTCAAATTTTCTATTTCTTCCTGATTCAGTTTTGGAAATTATATATGTTTCTGGAATTTACCTGTATCTTTTATGTTGTCCGTTTGTCAGCATTTAATTTTTTATTATTGTATCTCCTTATAATCTTTTGTATTACTGTAGTGTCATTATTCCTTCCCATTTCTGATTTTGAGTTTTTTTTTTTTAATGAGTAGCTAATGCTTTATCAATTCTGTTTATCTTTCATAGAACCAGCTCCTGGTTTCGTTATTCTTTTTTTGTTTGTTTGTTTTGTTTTTTTGGAGAGAGCACGTACAAGGGGGTAGAGGGGCCAGGGGGGTGAGAGAGAGAGAGAGAGAGAGAGAGAGAGAGAGGGAGAGAATGAATCTCAAGCAGGCTCCATGCTCAGAGTGGAGCCCAGCACAGGGCTTTATTCCATGACCCTGGCATCATGATCTGAGCCAAAATCAAGAGTCAGATGCTCAACTGACTGAGCCACCCATTGTTTTTTTTTTTTTTTTTTTTTTTTTTTTTTCTATTGTTTTTCCAATCCTTATTTAAATTTATTTGTACTCTCATCTTTATTATTTTATTAGCTTTCAGCTCACTGTTCTTTCTCTAGCTCTTTTATGTATATGGTTAAATTGTTTTAGATTTGGCTTGTTTCTTGAAATAGACCTGTATTGCTGTAAACTTCCCTCTTAGAACTGTTTTTGCTGTATCTCAAAGATATTGGACTACTGGCATTTTGTCTCCATGTATTTTTTTTTTATTTCCTCTGATTTGTTCATTGACCCATTGATTGTTTAGTAGCATGTTGTTTAGCCTTCATGTGTTTCTGTTTTTTCCCATTTTTTTCTTATAATTGACTTGTAGTTTCATACTGTTGTTGTCAGGAAAGATGCTTCATACGATTTGATTCTTCTTAAATTTACTGAGACTTATTTTGTGGCCTAACATATGATCTGTCCTGGAGAATGTTCCATGTGCACTTGAATGTGTATTCTGCTGGTTTGGGATAAAATGTTCTATATATACCTGTTTGATCCATCTGGTCTAATGTGTCATTCAAAGCCACAGTTTCATGTTGATTTGCAGTCTGGATGATATATCCATTGATGCAAGTGGGATGTTAATGTCCCCTCTATTACTGTGTTACTGGCAATTTCTCCTTTATGTCTGTTAACATTTGCTTTAAATATTTAGGTGCTTCTATGTTTGGTGCATAGATATTTACAATTGTTACATCCTCTCTTGCTCTCTTTCCTTGTGGTTTGATGGATTTCTTTAATGTTATGGTTGGATTCCTTTCTTTTTTATTGTGTATGGATGGTTTTGAGTTGTGGTTGCCATTGGGTTCATATATGACATCTTATGTGTATAGCAGTCTGTTAAGTTGATGGTTGCTTTATTTCAAACATATTCTGAATGCACTACATTTTTACTACCTTCTCCACGTTTTATGTCTGTGTCATATTTTATATCCTTTTATTTTGTGTATTCCTAGATTAATTTTTGTAGATCTAATAGATTTCCTACTTTTGTGTTTTAACCTCCATACTGGCTTCATAGTGATTAATCCTACTGCCTTTACTGTATGTTTGCTCTTACATGTGAAATTTTTCTTTTCATAATTTTCTTCCATTTATGGCCTTTTTTTTCCAGTTAAAGAATTCCCTTTAACATTTCTTATAAGGCTGGTTTAGTGGTGATGAACTCTAACTTTTGTTTGTCTGGAACTGTTTCTTGTATTCTGAATGATAGTCTTGCTGCATAAAGTCTTCTTGGTTATAGATTTCTTATTTCAGCACTTTGAATATATCTTGTCACTCTTTTGGTCTGCATTGTTTCTGCTGAAAAATCAGCCGGTAGCATTATGGGGTTTCCCTTGTATGTAACTGTTTTGTTGTCTTAAAAGTTCCGTATTTATCATTACTTTTTGCCATTTCGATTATGATGTGTCTTGGTGTGGCCCTTTTTGAATTCATCTTGTAAGGGGCTCTTGGTGCTTCCTAGATCTGAGGGCTCTTGGTGCTTCCTTCCCCCAGATTAGGGATGTTTTCAGCTATTATTTCTTGAAATAAGTTTTTGCTCACCCACTCCCCTTTCTGGCATCCCTATATTGCAAATGTCATTACCCTTAATAATGTTGCAGAATTCCCTTAATTTTTTTTCATTTTTTATTATTCCTTTCTCTTTTTGCTGTTTAGCTTGAATGATTTCCATTACTTTGTCTTCCAGATCACTGATCTGCTCTACTTCCTCTCATCTCCTATTGATTCCCTCTATTGCAATTACTAAATTCTTCAGCTCTGAGTCCATTCTTTTTTATATTCTCTATCTCTTTGTTGAAGTGCTTACTGAGTTCATCCACTCTTATCTCAAGTCTAGTGAGTATCTTTATGACTATTCATGAATTCTTCATCAGGCGTATTGGTTATCTACATTTTATTTAGCTTTTTAATTGTGATTTTGTCCTGTTCTTTCACTTGGGCCATGTTCTTCTATCTCCTTATTTTGTCTAATTTTCTGTGTTTGTTTCTATGTATTACGAAGGTCAGCTACATCTTGCCTTGAAAGTAGTGGCCTTATATAGAAGAGGTCCTGTGGTGCCCTTTTCTGGCCAGTCTTTTCTGGCCACCAGAACCAGGTGCTCCAGGTGTCCCTTGTGTGGGCTGTGTGTGCCCTCCTGTTGTGACAGAGCTGCGATTGCCTTTAGCCCAACCATCTGTAATGACCTACTTTGTTTCCTGTGGGCCCAATGGGCAGGATTTGCTTCTGATGCCATTGAGAAGCGTGTCATAGTTGTTATGGGCTCATTTGTGGGTGGGGTGGCATTCAGCCTAGCAATTTGCAGTTAGCCTTTCTGTCACAGCTGCAGGGCAGGGCTTGCTCCCTGTGCAGCCAGGTAAGGATCCCAGTTGCAGAAACTGCAGGCGTGTTATTTCTCCCGCTTCCCTAGGGCAGGAATCACTTTAGAGTGGTCCCAGTCCTGGCTGGGGCAGGGCAGACGGTGCTAGCAAGTTAGAGGGAGAGTGTTAGTATTAGCTTTTGCAAGCAACCAGTTATCTAGGCTGGGGGCGGTGGGGAATGCTACCCATCAGCACTTTTCCTAGAGTAATCTGCAGATTTTTCTGGCACACTTTCCAAGAGGAGTCAGTAAATCTTCATGTATTCCTCAGATGCTTTTCAAACCGCTGCTTCTCTGGTGTGTCTCAGGTCAAGTTATTTAGTATATAGACTCCTTTAAGGGGGTGGACTTCATTTCCTATCATCTTCTTGCTATCCCAGCATTAAACCCACTGGTTTTTGAAGCTCCCAAGGCTTAAGCCCTACTGAATTTTTCTTTCTTTCTTTTCTTTCTTTCTTTCTTTCTTTCTTTCTTTCTTTCTTTCTTTCTTTCTCTTTTCTTTCTTTCTTTCTTTCTTTCTTTGGCAGAGGCATTACTTTATTCAGGCAGGGATGAGCCAGACACAACATGGCAGGAATACAGGGGGTCAGGACATGGAAGCACACCCTCACCCAGTCACCCCAAGAGGGTGCAGTGAGTGGAGAGGGGGTTGGCGAGCCCTATCACAAGGACCACCACAGCCCCCTCCTCTGGGAGGAGCCTTTCCCAGCTGACAGGAGGGAGAGAAAATGGGGTGCAAGTAAAGGAGCCTAGTCTTACAGTGGTTCAGCTCCACTGATTTCTAAAGGTTTTGGAGTTAAGCCCTGCTGGTTTTCAAGGCCACACGTTATAGTGACTCAGATCGTTGGTGTCAAGAGTGCACAGTGTGGGGTCTGAGCCTCTCTTTTCTCCATGCTTGTGTTGTCCCTCTTGTTTGTGGTTAGTTACACCAGGTATTTATTTGGTTCCCAAGCACATCTCGTCAGTGTGGACTTATCTCTGTGATTAGCTGCGGTCTTTAGGTCATTTTCAGAGTTCATTGTGTAGATGTAGCCGTTCTCTTGTTGTGTCCATGGAACGAGGTGAGGTCAAGATCCTCCATCAATTGGTACCAAATCATTTTTATGGGAAAAGTAAGATCTTTCTTGTTTTTATGTTTGTTTTGAGAGAAATGGGGCTTGATCTTACCAAGTGTGAGACGCTTAACCAACTTAGCCACTCAGGTGCCCCTTTGATCCCATAGTTTTAATTAATATATTTTGATGATTTCTAAAATATATCTGTAGATGATATTTTTTCCTCTTTTTTTATTTGAAGGTTGTTTTGTGTGTAGATATTTCTTTCAATTTCAGACTATTCCATCCATCTGTAATCTCCATTTTAATGTTCCACAAATACCTCATATTCCATGTCTAAAGCTGAAACTCCAAACCTGCTTTCATTCTGTTTCCCATATCCTTATCTCACCATTCAGTCAGATGCCTCGGCAGAAACTTAGGGCTATTCTTTACTCCTCCTTCCTTAACCTCCAGAGTCACTCAGTTACCAATAATCCAGATTCTACTTCCTAAATATCTCTCAACTCTATCCTATCTCTATTCCTATAATCCTAGATGAAGCCACCATCATCTTTTCCAGAATGACTACCACAGTTTCCTGGCTGTCTCTGTACCATTTCGTCTTCCTTACAGTTTGAAATGATAATACCATCAGAGCAGTCTAAGTACAAACTTGGTTATGTTGCTCCTGCTTTTTTTACTTCAGTGCTGCCAATATTGCTTTCAGGATTAAATCAAAACAAAATTCTTATAAGTTTTTTAAACTTGAACGCAGTGTTTAATTGTGCTTTGTAGAAAAATATTATAGCTAATAGGATGCATTCACATTATATACATCTTTGTTATTTTGATTTTTTTAAATTTTATTTTATGGACTCTAAAATCAGTTCTATGTCTTTATTAAATGGAATCATACAATATGATACTTTGTGGCTGGCTTTCACGTATCATACTGTGTCCAAGTTTCATCCAGGTTGTAGCATAGAACTTCACTTGTTTTTATTGCCAAATACTATTTAATTGTATGGATAATACCCACATATAAAAAAAATTTTTTTTAACGTTTATTTATTATTGAGAGAGACAGAGCATGAGCATGGGAGGGACAGAAGCGGGGAGACACAGAATCCGAAGCAGGCTCCAGGCTCGTAGCTGTCAGTACATAGCCCAACGCAGGGCTCAAACTCACAAACCTCAAGATCATGACCTGAGCCAAAGTCGGATGCTTAACTCTTGAGCCACCCAGACACCCTTTCCCACATTTCTTGTTTATCCATCAGTAATGGACATTTGAATTATTTCTACGTTTTGTCTGTTATGAATAATAACATTGCTGTGAACACTTTGTACAAATATGTGTAGACCTCCATTTTCACTCTGGCATTGGTGGGTCATATGGTAACTCTTTAACTTTTCAAAAATTGCCAGGCTGTTTTCCAAGGTACCTGTACCATTTTGCATTTGCACTATCACCTTAGGAAGGTTTCAATTTTTCCACGTCTTTGCCAACACTTGCCAATATATCACATATCTTTTATTATAGTCACCGTAGTGGATGTGAAGTGGGATGTGGTGGTTTTGATTTATATTTCTTTGATGACAAATGAGCAACTTTTCATGTGCTTATTGAGCATTGGCATATGCATTAATCTTAACAATTCTAACATAAAATTGTAATCTGTTTCTCCCAGATGATGGAAACAAAATCAAAAAATTTATCAGCATCAGAAAACAGAAAAAGGAATGCTATTAGAGAAGAAAATGAAAGGAAATTATATGGATCATTGAATACTCTTTTAGAAAAAAAAGAGGGAATACCAGAAAAAAAGGAAAAGACTTCAGAGCTACAGGTGTTGGCAGAATGTGGGACAGATGATACATCACTGATCAAACAGGATGTGAATTTACCTTCTATAACCATAGCTGATAAATTTCAAGAGCAACTGGAAGAGAAAAAATCAGAAGACTCCATTATATCGGTTGTACTTTCTGCAGACCCAGGTACATGGCCCCGTGTTTTAAATATTAAACAACGGGACATTCTTGTTGAAAACGATCCACCTCAAGTAAGAAATTTTAACTTTCCAAAAGACAATACAGGGAGGAAGTTTTCAGAAACTTATTATACACGAATTCTTCCAAATGGTGATAAAACCACTAGATCCTGGTTACTTTATTCAACTTCAAAAGATTCTGTGTTTTGTTTGTATTGCAAACTCTTTGGGGAAGGAAAAAATCAATTGAAGAATGAGAATGGGTGCAAAGATTGGCAGCATTTATCACATATTCTTAGCAAACACGAGGAAAGTGAAATGCACATTAACAATAGTGTTAAGTATTCAAAATTAAAATCTGATTTGAAAAAAAATAAAACTGTGGAAGCTGCAGTACATGGATTACATAAGAATGAGAAAAATGATGGTGTGCTCTTGTTGTACACATAATATACCTGATGTGGTTTTGACATAACAAGGTCATACATTTATTCAGAAAAGATCTGTAACCCTAACAGTACCATTTGTTGTTGTGAAGCTCCTATAACTTTCAACAGTTCATTAGCAATAATTATAATAGCAAATAGTAAAGAATGTTTCTGTTTCAAATTCTAAAGCTAATTGGATTCAATAGTAATGCGGGTTTCAATAAAGGCGATTGTTACTTTTTCATTCTATCAATTCACACCTTTTAAAATTGGCATTTGAGGGCTAACATTTGACAGGTTTGGTTAATTTTCTGTTCTGATTACTTTGAAAAAAGGAGAGAAAGGCTTAGATTTATCAGTAGTAGTTTGAACAAGATACTATGTGAACATTCTCATTATTATTAAAGTAAAAACATTTAGAAACAGTTTGAGAGTAGAATGGAATCCGAAACTGCAGCTTTTTGCTACTAAACCAAATACCTGCGATTTCTTTCTTTTGGGCAAAACATTGTTTTATTATTTGGGCAAAATGGCATTATTTGTTACTTCATATTAAGGTGATTACTTTGCATTTTATTTACTTTAATTTATAAATATTTTAGATTTTATTCTTGTGTGAGAAGTATAAGAATAAAGAGTGTATACCTATTTTTATGTTAGTACAAATATAAGAAATATTAAAAATATATTAAGTTAACCTTTAGGTTTTGTGGCAATTTTTTTTTTCTTCTGAAGACTACATGCTTGAAATTTGAGAAACACATTAATGAAAATTAAGGCTGTCCACTTTTTCAAATGATCAGTGCTCCCATTACTATATACTTAGTAATTCTCCCTTTATATCTGATTTCGGATACCGACTTTATCATATATTAAATTCTTACATATACTGGGCTTTGTCTCAAAGCTTTGAAACAGAATGACAAATGAACAATGACTAGAGCAGAACTAGGTGTATTCTTTTTGGTGAGTGACACTAGGAGTACTTGGAGACTCTGTCACTGATGCCAGTGCTTAAAACTATTATTAGAGGACCCACAAAAATCATTATCATTAATGTATTATAACCATTTTGTTTTTTGACAACTCGACCATTTCAGTCTTTCATAGTTGGATCTGAATGAGGCTTTGGGACGTTACCAAAAATCCAATTTACTCTTAAAGGCCTAAGAGAATACTCTAGAGAATATAACACAGGATTTGAAGTTCCTTTCCAAATGTTTAATGTGCCCATTATTTCACTAAAACTTACCGCTAATTGAATGACATTATATGGTTATATTCGATAGACGCTTGGTATCAGTGGTATCTGAGCCAAGTAATTAAATCAACCAGTGGCTACTTAAGATGATTTGCAAAAACATCAAATTTATCCATTGAGAAAACAAAATTAAATCCTGTCCTTTAAATTCTTATTTATTTATTTATTTATTTATTTATTCTTATTTATTTTTTCACCATACTATGAGGCACCATAAGCTCTTGATGCAGTAATGAATTAAATGTGAAAAATTTGGGGGAGCCTGGATGGCTTAATTGGTGAGTGTCTGACTCTTGATTTTGGCTCAAGTCATAATTTCGTGATCATGAGTTGGAGCCCTGCATCAGGCTGTGCCAATAGCACAGAACCTGCTTGGGATTCTCTTTCTCCCTCTCTCCCTGCCCTTCCTCTGCTCACATGTGTGCATATGTGTTCTCTCTCTCTCAAAAAAATAATAATAAACATTAAAAAAATTCAAAAGATGTAGATGCTTGGGTGCCTGCATGGCTCAGTCAGTTAAGCGTCCAACTCTTGATTTCGGTTCAGGTCATGATCTCATGGTTTGTGAGTTTGAGCCCTGTATGGGACTCACACTGATGGTGTGGAGTCTGCTTGGGATTCCTGCTCTCTCCCTCTCTGTCCCTTCAGCTCTCTCTCTCTCTTTCAAAATCTTAAAAAAAAAAAAAAAAAAAAAAAAAAAAAAAAAAAAAAAAAAAAAATTAGAGGCTGGGTTTTTCCATATTTACTGTAAATTTCTCATTCAACTTTTTGCTGTGTAAAATTTTTCATAATATTCATAAAATGTTGAGGGAAAAATCAACTAAATTCAGAACATAATAAAAACAAACATCTCCAGGCAGGGGAATGATTTTTTTCCGCCTTATCAAGTTTTTGTTTTTTTAAGTTTATTTATTTATTTTGAGAGAAAGGGGGTGAGGAGGGAGAGACGGGGAGAGAAAGAATCCCAAACGGGTTCCGCACCATCAGTGCAGAGCTGGACACAGGGCCCGATCTCAAGAACCATGAGATCATGACCTGAGCCGAAGCCAGATGCTTAACCAACTGAGCCAGTCATGTGCCCCAAGTTTTGTTTTGTTTTGTTTTTTTTATAAGATGAGTATGTTCTCACTATAAAAGGAAGAAAACAGTTCAAGTCTTGTTACCATCTCCTACTTTTCCTACAGAAGAATTTGTCAGCAGTGATCTGGACTATACCCAGCATTTGTTTTCATCTTTTTAATTTCATTGAGAACAGGCATTAGGAAATATTATCTCCTGCCACTAATTTAATATCAAAAATTAGTAAAGACAATTCAGAATAACAGTCCATAAGAAGTGGCAGGGGCACTTGGGTGGCTCAGTTGGTGAAGCGTCTAACTCTTGGTTTCAGCTCAGGTTATGAACTCCCAGTTCATGAGTTTGCTTAGGATTTCCTCCTCCCCCTCTCTATCTGCCTTTCCCTACTTGTGCTGTCTCTGTCTCTCTCAAAATAAGTAAACTTAAAAAAAAAAAAAGAAAAGAAATGGCAATCTATTGGTTTTCTCATTTCACAGAAGGCAAGTGAAAATATTTTTGTAATTTTTTTCAGATTTTCTGTCTTTAAAATTCTTACATTTTGCCATTTTCTTCCTGTGATTCCTAGACCCACCCCTGCCCCATCTCAGTGCTGAAAGCCAGTAAGAGCCGCTAATAGCTATTTTATATATACAAGGTAAAATTTGCTACATAGGATGGAAAAGTGGATAAGTGATTGAAGTAAAGACGTCAATAAAGAGTAATGCTTTATAATTTCAGGTCATGTCACTCTTCTGTTTCAAAGCTTTGAAGTTCCCCATTGCTTTTATTTTAAAACTGCAACTCCTTGGCACATCATGTATTGGTAGCTGCAATCATGAGTGGCAGATAATAGGGAAAAGTTGTAGACAAAAACAACATGAGGTACAAAATTGTAGAAATGGAATAGTGTTCTGTAATTTTGAATTATAAAGTATGCCTGTGTTAGGATGAGATTAAGAATTTGAGAATATAACTATGGCTGAAAGAAGAATCTAAGCCAAGTACCCAAGTCTTTGTGTTTAGAAAATTAGGTTAGGAAAATAGTGGTGTAATATTGAGGACAATAAAAGGTTTTCAAAAGCTTGTAAATGATTTTTTTTTTTTTTTTTTAAAGCAACAGTGATTTTAAATCTAGAGCGTTCTGGAAGTCACATCTAGAATGAAGAGCAGATAATCCGGTTTGCTTCTATACAGATAAAGCAAGGGAGACCTAAAACCTGGGAAATCAGACTCCCCTCACACATGTAGATACTAAAAGACTTTCATGGGACACCTCACTGGCTCAGTTGATAGAGCATGTGACTCTTGATCTCAGGGTCATGAGTTCAAGCCCCACATTTTAAGCTTAAAAAAAAAAGACGTTAATAATTCATGTGCCTACAAATTAATAAAAACCAAATTAATAGGGGCACCTGGGTGGTTCTGTTGGTTAGGCATCTGACTTGGTTTTGGCTGAGGTCATGATCTCATGGTTTGAGATCGAGACGAGCTCTGAGCTGACAACATGGAGCATTCCTGGGATTCCCTCTCTGTCTCTCTCTGCCCTTCCTCTGCTCATGTGTGTGCAAACACTCTTTCTTTTTCAAAATAAATAATTTTTAAAAAGTAAAAATAACCAATATCAAGAATCAGTGGAAGGACAACTAGCTGGCTCAGTGGAGTGTGGAATCCTTGATCTTGGGGTCATGAGTTTGAGCCCCATGTTGGGTCTGGAGATTACTTAAAAAAAAAAAAAAAAAAAGAATCACTTGAGATCCCATGGACATTTAAAACATAAGAAGGTTATGGTGTACCTGGGTGACTCGGTTGAGTGTCCAACTTCAGGTCACGATCTCATGGTTTGTGGGTTCTAGCCCTGCATTGGGCTCTGTGCTGAAGAGCCTGGAGCCTGCTTCAGATTCTGTGTCTCCCTCTCTCTCTCTGCCCCTCACCCTCACCCTCTACTCTGTCTCTGTCTCTCAAAAATGAATAAATGTTAAAAAATATTTTTTAATTCATAAAATAAAAAATAATAAACTTTAAAAAAAGCAGTCATTACTGTGAAAGGAATTAGCCTAGGGAGGTATATGAAAAGTTTAAAGACAAATACTATGTCATCTGATGCAAAGAATGGCCAAGGTGCCTTAGAAGGGGTGATCAGCTGACTTAGTGCAGAGTGGGAGGACCTGTGAGACCCTAACTTAGTGCATATTCAGAGAGCCAAGACATGGAAAACACAGAAGTTAGGAAGCAACAGTTTGTACAGGTGTTCATTATTCCCACCTTCATTCTACATTTTGTTTGTCAGAAAACAAAACAAAAAACCAGGCCTTTAGTGAAATTGAGTTGATTTAGGAAAGGAATACTAGGACAAGGGATACATTTGTTATATCCTGGTCTTTTTTTTTTGTTTTTTGTTTTTTGTTTTTTTTTT